GATTCTTATCTGAGTGAAGTCGCTGTCTTTGGAAACTTCGCACAACATTAATTCCATAATTTCCTCTCTGTCAAACTGTCTCTTGCTACTTTCTCACCAGACACTTGAAGTATCATCTGTAATGCTGAACATTTGATCACCATCAGATTAATATCATCATGATCAATAATATTGTATCGGTGCAGTTTACAGATTGTATACTGTCACTAAATGACTGGATGCATGTGTAGCGTTTTCAGTGTTCTGAAGATAGATTGAGGCTTTTCATGTGATTACAGATATTTTTAATATGTGTTATAGCAGTTATACCCAGCTGCATCTGCACTTTTAACAGTGTTTTAGATGCTCTGTTTCAATGATATGTTTGACACACCTCCTAAAATCGCGGAGGGTTTGTTAGATCTGTGAGGGCTTCAGGAAACACTGTGGTTGAAACTTTTACAACTCCATTATTGTTCATTTTTGATATCCTCATGTTGTCCAATTAATTTGATGGGGAGAGATGTAATCAGTCTTTCTTTCATTTCCAGCCCAACAGGAGTCATAGTGGTCCAAACGGCTGATCATGATCTACCACAGATTTATACATGCATTAAGTATAATGATCCACATTATATGTGTATGAGTGGAAGCTCTGTTTATCTGTTGTCGCATCCATCAACACTGATCTAGTTGATAAAGCACATTCAGTCACACTAGAGAACAGACACCATGTACATGAACCCAGAAGAATTATTTAAGCACATTGGAAATAACACCAGGATGTGTACTTTTACAATGTGTTGACGACTTGATGATTTGTGCGCCAACACACAACTAAAACACTTAGCTGCAGAAGCACACAAGGCAAGCCTGGAAAAACTGCAGTTTGTAAAAGAACAAGTCTCATTTTTAGGGAATGTGATCACAGCAGAGGGCAAATCCCTCTCCCCTAAGAGAGTAACAGCAATTCAAAATACTCCAAAAAACTGTCACAAAGAAACAAGTTATGTCATAATTGGGAATGTGCTCATTCTGCAGATCATTTATTCTCAACTATGCTGTCCTTGAGGCACATGGGTGACGCCTAAAAGCACACAGTAAGGTTACATGGACTGATGATGCAGAGAAAGCTTTCACTGACTTGAAACTGACCTTACAATCGACCCCGACCTTAGGACTACTGAACCCTGACCGCCATTTTACACAGGCACACATGACACAAGTGCTACTCCAAGAACATGGTGGCAAACAGAGACCTGTGGCATTTTTCTGGATCAGGATCAGTGAAGTTGGGGTAGCGTTGACCAGCACAGCTATTGGTGAGAGCCAAGTGCCACCTTAGCTGCTTCGGTGAGTGACACAGTACACATGTTCCAGAGAATACACCTGTACGAGTGACTATGGGTCACCTCTGCTGGACGATGATGGAATGCTGACCTCCATGGCATCCCTTCAGACAGCCAGGCCTGGGGGGCCTAAGAGGAACTTTTCCTCCTGTCAATAACTGTAATAGTTGTTTTCACTATCATTTGGATATTGGGCCGGCTTCTCAGACAGATCCTTATGACTCCCTGCTTTCTGATCTCTCCGGCTTGTTCTACATGTCAGAATGCCTGTGACCACAAACACAGCAATTGGCTGTACCCTACAGTATTTGTGATGATACATTTTGTGTGGGAATCTGTTTTGTAGTTGAAAAGTAACTCTTGTGACCTGAAAACCGCAAGACCTTTCTATTACCTTTATGACCTTTCTATTACTTATTGACTGTCCAGGGAACTATGCTTTATCTTCAAAGGAATCGTATGCAAATAGGTTTCCTGTGTCTTAATTCCTGTCTGAAACTGTGCCTACAGATCCAGTCTGGACTGGCTCAGTCAAACAGTCCTATATAAGATGTTTGCATTTGACTGTTCTGCATCAGCACTGTTGAGATCCCTCTGACTCTCTGCGTTGAACCTTTCTGCAGTAAACCCCTAATAAAATACACAAAGACAAATTTGGTAATCCAACCTCTTGAATTTTCAGATTTCAATTACACCAACTATGTTGTCCTGCCTCTCTCGAGTCACGCAATTTGTGTGTGAGCCGTGTGGTGAAATCTCTTGCTAGTCACATTCTGTGTGCGTGCAGTGTGCTTGTTTGTGTGTGTGAGCCACTGAAACGTTAGTTGAGAAGAGAGAACTTAAGTAACAGACTGATTTCCACCAATGCTGGAAAAACTCCATCGCAGATCACAATAAGAGGAGATATCCCCTGCAATTGACCTCTCTCTTGCTCTTTTTCTCTTCCCATTAACCAATAGAAATTGTAGCATAGATTAATTCACCTATACTAAGAGGTTATAGTATAATACGGACATGAAGAATGTGGCTTGAACCAGAATAGTATGCCTGTTTATTTTTTCACAACTAGTCAATACTTCGCTCTTTAAAAAGAACAACTTCCATCGGTGACCCTTCACAATTAAATTCCCATACAGATACACATGCTTATCAAGCAGGAAACACAAATTCACTGACCAATAAGGCAACTAAATAATAAAGCTTAGGTAAATTACTGTTAAATAGCCAAACGTTTCACAAAAAAAAAAAAACTCAATATAGTTGATGATGATAATACAGGTCATTAGCTATATTATTAGCTATATATTGCTTGTTGTGTGTATTTTTCAATTTATCGTATCGATAATCATGAAAACCGTGATATTTCCTGTATGACAACAAACCTGGCACCAAAACTTCACATTGCGACATCCCTACATATCCCTACAGTTGCTATTCAGTCACTGAGCACCCATCTTGCAAGTGTTATGCTGAGAAGGGACTCTTTTCTGGTTGGGGTTGAGTACAGAGTCTGTTCATCAGGAATTTGTTGGGCTTTTAGGGCAGGAGTGTTGTTTTAGATCTCAAAAAATGCATAGAAGTTGTATTTGCTGATCGGAAAAAGGTCACAGTCACAGACCTGTGAAGGGGTTTAGTATCTGGCCAAACTGATTTATTTTTTAACAGGTTTTCAACTTCATCCAAGGTCTGTAGGAAGGAATAATCGTGATGTGGTCTGAGAAGCCGATGTGGGGGAGGGAGGATGAGTTATAAGTGGGGTTGGGTGCTAAATTGATGCTTTTCAAAATCGTTCTGATGCCTGCACTTAGACAGAAACTGGTACTCTTTTCTTAAAAAAGCACAAAACAATGGTCAATGATAAGAGTGGCTTTTTTATTGCTCGGACAAACTGGAAGTTAAAATTCAATACCAACTTTTAACAAGTTGACCTATACTAAAATAAACTATACTAAATATATAATATAAATAAGTGCAAAAATCTTGAATGTTCAATTTAAAAAAAATCACAAAACCTTTACACTAAATAACAGTTTCAGTTCTTAATACAGCAAAATACTACTTGCTCTTCCATTGCTCCCAGTATCAGAAAACTTTCATGAGAAATATAGCCACTCTTTCGAACGTTTAGCTTTAGGCATTTTATTGTAATGTAGACTCAAGTTTGAGGTAGCAACTAGCTAACTGTAGGCTAACATTACATGCTGCCAGAGTGTGTCTACACACTCTCTACACGGAGCTGGTCAATTTTATGTCAACTAGGTACATGCAGTGATGTTTATGTGTCCTGTAGTGGTTGAGGCCTACCACAATATGTTTTCAATTAGAAGCAGAAGCTTCTGACTCATTCCATATTTACTTGAGCTGTTTAGACACAAAAATGAGCTCTGACAAATGACAGACAAATACAAGCTCAATTTCTTAGATAAATATGTATCTGACAGAAACACAAGCTAGATGTAGCCTGCAAAGTGTGGGACACCTCCTATTTTACACAAGATAATGATCCAAGTTCCATATAAATAAAATAGGGTTAATTAAAGGGTCAATAGTTGACGGAGGAAGATGAGAAGTAGAAGATTTTAAGATTGTTCTGGTTTTTATTTGTTCACTTTGAGAAGTGTGCTTTTCTGGCATCTTTAACTCCCTGATCTTAAATGGCAATCTGATAAATAACTTTATGAATAAAGTTATTCTAATTTCTGCTAGTCAGAAGGAGGGGTTAGCTCTTTTATTCTTGTAGAGGTGGCTCACCTCTGGCTGTTCCAGAGGGGTGATTTGGCACAACAAGTCCAGTTGGCAAATCACTCAGAGAGCTGCTAAACACCGGAAGAGACACAAAGTGAGACACACAAACAGAGCCAGAGAGCTGAGCTGAGTAGCCAGTGGAAAAGGTTATGTGCTGGGTGATTTATATTCCTTTTAATATGATGAAACTGGTGAGCAGCTGTTGTCTAGCTGACATTGGAAGACTCACAGTGCCAGGGGACTTTGCCACATTGGCGCTCAATATGGAGCCCAACATGGCCAGTAATTGGACAGATTCAAAGCAGCTCCAGTCAGTGACTGCGCTAAATCAAATGGTGGAGTTGTTTTAAATGATGCAAAGGGAGCCTCTTCTGAAGTCAGTGGTGATGCTGATGCATGCACCTTGTCTGAAGTCAGCAGTAAGGACGACACCTGCTCCTTGTCTAAAGACAGCGGTGAGGATAACAGCTCTGCCTATTCCTGATCCCCAGTCGACGGTGCAGCCGGTGCCTCTTCCTTACCCTGGTCAGCAGTAGGTGGTGCAGCCACTTACTCTTCCCGTCCTTCGCTACCACTCTGTCGCCCCACTGCTGGAGAAAGAGTTCTTCGGGAGAGAACCGGTCTACTTTGGTGCCCTCCTGTTGGGGCTTGGTAGAGACCCTGCATATGGCAACACCCACCTGTTGTGCCTCTGGAGAGACCTGAAGTGCAGTTGCACCCACCTTATCGGCCTCCAGAGAGACCTGTGGTGCGGTGGCGCCCACCTGGTCAGCCTTCAAGCATATGATTTTTCCAAATAAATATAGTGAAACCTATGTGATTATATTTTGACCAAATGTTGTAGCATGTATCATGGTATGGGACAGGACTATATGAGGTATTAATTTTCCCTTTGATCTATTATCTATTATCACACAGTTTGACTTACTAGTAATGGTAGTAAAGCTGTCCAATTTTGGATGCAACTTCCCCAATTTGCCATCTCTTCAAGCCATACCGACTGTCCAGAATCTGTCTGTCATTGAAAACAAACAAACAATTGGACCACATTTAGATTATTTGGATCATATGTAATTGCATAATACATAAAGAGAGATGGAAGATGGAAAAAACCTGTGCTGCTGTTGAAATTTCCATAGTTTAGTGTAGACATCAAAAGTCCGTCCAAAGTAGGATTGCCACTGCTTGTGTCCATACTGAGGAAGGTCCCTACAGCAAAGAGCACAAAAGACAATGTACTGCTGTGATCCAGGTTTATGAGTCACACAGAATCTGACAAAATGTTATCATTTCACAAATTAGTAACTGAAAAGATAATGGATAGTTAAAATCTGGAAGAACATGGGACCATGTTTCATGATTAAACAGCTTATTTGATAACTCAATAGCTACCATTAGACAACAGCTAACAACAGCAATCAACCACCACTGTTTAGCATTTCAACGTTTAATATGTTCCATTAGGAGCACAATGGTAAAGATGTTTTTAATCCAGAAAATGCCAATGCACCTCTGACGCACAATTATTTAAGCTTACAAATGAACTGGAAGTGCTTAAAACAAACTTTTGTATTGATGTAAACTATGCATTACACAGAAATATGTTTCAGTGAATGGCTAGAAAATCAATGAATGCAAATGTTAGCTGCTGTCTAATGGTAGCTCATGATCAAGCTATCAAATATGTGGATGCAACCATAATTGACAGCTGACCATCTTTGATGGTATGCTAGCTTTATATACAAATCTTGTTTTTACATTTGTTCTACTGTACAAAAGCAAATAAACCCTCATTGATAGAGAAATACAGGTTAATTATTCCACTCACTTATGACCAATTTGTTTAATAACAACTTGAATTTATATAGCGCCTTTCAAGAGACCCAAGGACACTAAATGTGTCAGTAGGAATAAAAAAAACAAAAAATCACGACCCAACTCAGAAACTGTGATAAAGGAGAGAGACGCTGATTGAAAGCAAAAAAAAATTAGTCATTTATTTAAATACAATTACCAGATGAACATAACACAAACGAAGGAGGTAATGAGGTGTGTTCATCAGTGGAATCAGTAGTGAGTGAGCGTTGATGCATGGATGAAGTGTGTGTGTTGTGTGGGGATGATATTAGATTGATGAGAACAAAGCAAGACTGCATGAAAGTCAGGTGGGTGAGAGAGAAAGAGAGCGTTTCAGCCGTGAGGACAGACTTTTATAGGAAGAACACTGGGCCCAGGTGTTTCCAACTAGGAGAGTATCCAGCCCACCAGTTACCTGCTGCATCACATCATAGAATATTAGGTTAAAGGTCCAGTGTGTAAGATTTAGGTGAAAGGGCAGAAATTTAATGTAGAATAATCTTCATGATGTTTTCACTAGTTCATTTCATCTAAATTGTAGTTTTCTTTACCCTACAAAAGGCCATTTATATTTAAATACTTAAATATTTACATCAAGGGGGTCCTTTTTACGGAGGCCTCCATGATTTTTTACAGTAGTGCAGACTGGAAAAACTAAACATCTTTTGAGTTTTTAAAACAACTAAAGGCTACCACAGGTTTGGAAGGGGAGGATGAGGTGAGGGATATTCAGCAGCAACATGCAATTTCAACACTAGATATCACAAAATTCTACACACTGTACCTTTAAATAAGGTGGGGGCCTACACAAAATTAAACACACAAAACAAGACAGAAATAGACTGAGCACTAATGGCAGGGTGGAACATTAACAGAGGCCAAATGCCTTAGTGAACAGGTACTGTTTGGGTAGTTTTTTTAAGCTGTCCAGAGATGCAGCATTGTGGATTTCAGTGATATGGTGTGGCTAGGAGGGGCACACCATATCATATAGGTGAGAAGGAGGAGTTTGTACTTGCAGGCCTTGATTGGGAGCCAGTGGAGGTGGATGAGGGTTGAGGTGATGTGCCGCCAGGGCCTGTTCAGGAAATTGTCAAAAAAAACTTTTCATTGATTATCCCCCTTTGAATCATGGCTTGAGCCATCCGGTTACGCTATGCTAGGACCCATCTTGCCTGCACATGGATCGGTGTTGTTAGAGTCAGGTAATCCATGAATCCCCTGATTGCGGTCAGATGACTTCTCGTAGGAGTCTTCAGCCCTCTTGAATCTGCCCTGGTTGCAATGATCAGGTTCATTCCCTTGATAGGGGAGATGGTGCATATGCACCCAGTGATGATCCCATTCTTGACAGGCTGAAACTTTCTAAGTTTTATTAGATGTGATTTTGGATGTGGTTCATTGCATCTTTAATAAGACTATGGGGGTTGGACCCATATTAGTGCTGCACAGTATACTAATACTAGAAAGGTATCATGATACCAAGCTGTTAAAAACATAGTTAATTTTATAAGTATAGGTGAATGATGTCCAGGGCACACCAGCTGCAGACCATCAATATAGTCAATAGAAAAGCATATATTTTTCCTGTGTGTGCAACGCTTTGCTTCCACACCATGCAGGTGTGCCTGCAGTTCCTCCCTTTACACACGCATTTTTCTACATCTACAATGACACATAATGCTATTAAAGTTAGCAAGTTATGATCTTGATCTTTACAATAATCCAAATTATATATAGCCTAATGCTATAAAGTGAATGCTACTTATTCATTGCAAAAACCCACCTACATACATGAAAACAATTACATAAATTACATTGTAAGTCTGGCATTTCATGGGGATGAAGCTCAAACCCAGGATTAACCCTCACACTACAGTTAGCCTCACAAACTAATTAGGCCCTTAGCTACAACAATTTATTTTCATTTTTGACAACTGTGAGGTTTTCTTTCTTCTCCTTTGCTTTTTGGACAAGTGAGTTGAGGGCCCAATAGCATCCAAAAGCTGCTTTGAGACATACACTGAACTCCAGAGATCTGGGTTAGCTGGTGTTAATGTGTTGTAAACATAATTGCATGATCTCTCTACAGCTGAAATAATAGGTTACATCCTGCTTCTGGAGGATTTGTTGCTGTTGTGAAGATGTCTGAGCAGAGAACCTCCCACTATGTTATTCATATGTGAAAGGAAAAATCCATCTGCTGTCCCTCAGCTAGTTAGAACAATGCCTTGAGATCAAATTTCATGGATAAGCTTCCAAAGCATCTGAGGATCTTGGGGGATTTTTTGTATACTTTGTATGGTATACCACTGGGACCTGAAACAGAAGATGACCTGCCATGCTTTACCACATCTTGGACTCCTTTCCATGATGGAAGTGCTTAGGGTTGTTGTTGGTGGGTCCACATTATTGAGTTTTTCTGCTAGGGTCTGTTTTCTTGATGGATCACTGAATGTTTCCTCACAAAGTCTTCAGCCTCATCCTCGAAGCTTGGTACCCAGACTTCACATCTTCTTGTATGGATTTGTTGAAGCGGTACGGGTCTGTACTGTTTTATGGATTTTTTATTATTATTTATTTATCTGAATCAGAAATTATAGCCGATAAAATGTCCGATAAACGCCCGCCTGGTTGTGCCTGGTTGTTCCTTGTTGCGCTCTTGACATTATACATCTGTGCCTGTCCATACCAGCATGATGTCTTTATGTCAGAACTGAAAACTAAGTTGCTGGTGTGGAAGTTTATCATACTTCCTGAGAATCACTGTAGGATTGCAATTTGCAACAAATGTGCAAAGGTTCCGAGAGGGGGAAAAACATTTGCAAATTTAAACACTATGGATCTCAGAAATCACCTGACGAGTTCGTCATCGTGACGAAGATGTTTAGGAGAATAAGAAGTGCTTTTCAGATGTCTCCCTGCCTGCCCTATATGATTTGGTTGCCGACAATTAAACTTTCTGATGAGTGTCAATTAACGTTAGTAGAAAACTTTAGTTCATGTTAAAAAGTAAAACAGTTTATTTTGTATTGACAAAAGCGTGGTGCCCATTGAGAACTGTCCAATCAGCACTGAAACTCTCGAATAAGAGAATTAATCTCTGTGACATCTGCTCTCAATTTAAAAGAATGGATGTCTTGAATGTTTGAAATTTATGAAATGTTATTATTCTAGAGCATTTGAATTTATCTTATTTCTCTGATTTTACGCTGACTTTTCTCAACCACAAAAGATGGATTTTATGAGTGAAATGCCACTTTATTGAAAGAAGTTCAGTCTTGATAAAAACTGCCAAGTTTTTTTTTATGTCACAAGGTGCTAGCATTTAAATGAGATTCTTCACCAAATTGTTTCACCAAAAAGGAAAAAGAAATTCATATTCAAATTTGTGATTTATTTTTTGTACTTGTATGAAATGTGGAAGGTTATTTGTTTCTGAATCATCATTTACAAGAGATGTCATTTATTTATTTGTCACCGTGTGGTCTACACTTGATGGCATGGTCCGTAATGCATGATTAGTGGGAGTGGTCCAGCGCTGCGCGACGGATGCAGAAAGTGAAGCATTTATCCTTACCGAGGTGCACTTGGGGTGCAGTCCCCAACAGCCCACCCCCATGGCGAACTTAGGTCCCGAGTTTGCAAGTGCTTGGGGCCAACCAGTGCTGCTTGCAGCCCTAATTTATTTTGATGCTACATGAAGGCCAAAGTATGGAGAAAACTTCCTTACTCTCATAAACTACAGGCTTATAGTTTATGCACAAATTATTATTGGTATCGGCCATGTGAAGCACGTAATTATCGCTTATAGGTATCGATCAGAAAAATTGTGCATCCCTAACTTGAGGCATGTGGAGCATTTGAATTGCCATGTCAAATGCTCCAAATGCGCCTGATGTTGACCCTAACCCGAATAAATTCAAATGATTCTTTGGCGCATTTAGGGAATTTACAGCAACGCGTTCGGTGTGAATGCACCATTACAGACCTGAAAAAACGGCAAGGACAAGGAGTTCCCCAGGGTCCAGCTCTCTGATTTACATGCCCCCACTAGCTTGTATCTTTCAAGACAATAAAATATCCTACCATACCTACGCAGACGACATACAAATTTGGATAACAATAACACCTGATGATTACGGACCAATACAGGCACAAAATAAATGCAGTGAACATATTGATGAGTGAGAATTTTTTCCAGTTAAATAAGGACAAAACAGAAACAATTGTTTTTGGTGTCAAAGGATGTCAGTGCTAGGGATCGACCGATTATCAGCCGGGCCGATTATCGGCGCCGATATTCAGCATTTTGACGCATATCGGCATCGACCTTTTTTTAAATCCGACCG